ACTACTCCCTTATTCATTCTGGAAGCATAAATTAAATTGCTGTGACCAACTAGATCACCAACTGTCAACAGAACCGTTTCAACTGGGATCGTCGGATCAGGTTGGACCCGAATCCCATTCCTCAAAGAGAGGGGCGGCGGCTCTGGAGACGCCATCCCCGCAAACAAACAGCGCTACAAGCGCTGAAACTCAAAACAAGAACCCAAGACTTAGAACCAAAGCAAGTAAAGAATATTAGAAAACAAATGCATGAAAGAAAAAGATTGAAAAGACGTTTGACACACTTTCACTCCCTCAGATTCACCACCTGCAGACTCGCCATGACCACTCCCAGAGAGAGAGAGAGAGAGAGAGAGAAAGAAAGAAAGAGAGAAAGAAAGAAAGAAAGAAAGAAGTAAAGAAAGAGAGAGAGGAAGAAAGAAAGAAAGAAAGAAAGAAAGAAAGAGAGAAAGAAAGAAGGAAAGAAAGGAAGAAAGAGACAAAGAAAGAAAGAAGGAAAGAAAGAAAGCACAGAAATGTTTTTGTTTTACATAGAAAATAATGACATCAACAAAAATTAAAGCATACATCAGCAATGCAACTAATTGTCAAATACATAATTGATCAACTTGCAGCGAAACACCAGTACGCTTATGATTATAGGAAAGAAACCTAACCTGGCCTCATAAAGCTGCTCTTTAAGGGATGCCTCCATCATGAAGGCTGTTGTTTTTTTCTCTTGAAGCAGCAAGCTGGGCTGCCAGCCTGTTTCAAGAAGAAATCAGATTCAATCGTTCTACTAAAGCTACAAACGCTAAAAGATAAAGGTTGAAGGACCCAGCAGAAACTTTTACTGATAAGCAACAAATCAAAAAGGGCAAATTATTTAAATTAAAATTCATGTGAAATTTAACAGGCAGGAATATCCAATTACATTATTCACTGAAGAAATTGAATCCATAAACAAAGTGAGGGAATTAGCTGATGTGAGTCAGGGGAAAATATCACGAAATGAATCAATAATCAACATTTAACTGAACAATTAGCTGCAATAACCTTGATATTTTTTTTACCTGTCTTTAAATGATTTCAATTCTTTATCTTTTCGTTTTAGAGCAGCACTGTTGGAAAATGAATAATGCAAAGTTATTATTGGAACATAAATACAATATTTTCTGGAATAAATATTTCTGATGAAAGTGATCAACAAATGGAAACACTGCTTATACAAGTAATAAAGTATATAAAATTAACATCAAACAAATACACACCTCATTTCATCCAATTTCTGTTTGTAAAATGTCTCAACCTCAGCAACACTGCAATTAGAAACATCAGAAGATAATATTTTAACTTTTAACAAACGTAAGAAAAGCTGAGTAAAAAGTTTATCTGACCTCAAAATATTAACATCCACTGGAAGGAAATCAAGAAAGCTATAGAAAACACATGTAAATATTAATGGGGCGTGGAGTTTGGGTGGTTTTGCTCCTAAATCTCCTTACCTGCATTTGGGATCTTCACGACTGTTTTATGACACATTGTGTGTAGAAATATTTATACCATCACAAATCTTCAATCTTTACAAAGCTAAAGCAGTTACTCGGTGTAAGTTGGTAGTGGTGTGACGACTCCAGTCTTTGCCTAGTTTCTTATATTACATTTTGTTTAAAAGGTAAAGTGGGAATGGGGTGAATTCAACTATGAACAATTGGACCAAATGTTCCCAGTCTATTTAACGCTGGTTGCTCCTCATTATCCTGTTTCTGCTGCATCACACACCGACTGTACATTTACTCTTCTCCAAACATCCACACCATACAATTGTCAAGGTTTATTCTGTGGCCATCTGCCTGGAAACATTTAATCCCACCTGTTAAAAGTTTTTACATTTTAATTTCAAAGCTGTAAATGCAGCACAACTCTGGAAGAAACACACAAGGTTTGAGTAGAGGAAAGAAGAAACAGGTGTCACCCAAACAACAATGTAAAAAGTCATTCAATAAAACAAAAAAGTGACATATTTTATGAGACTGTAGAAAAACAAAATTAATCACCATGTAAATATTGGTAGCTTTCTGAATCAAACTTAATATTGAACAGCTGAAGGATCAGTGTTGTGGTACTCGAAGTTGGTCTTGGTCTTAAGACCGGTCTTAAGACCATTTTTTGATGGTCTCGGT